AAGCTGTTATTTATTGTAAAAAAATTAAATTCTAAAAAAACATTTATGTATATTTTGTAAAATGTTTGTACAAAATATTTTACTTTAAATCAATTTACATAATTTAAATTAATTACATTAATAAATATTATGAACATACATTAAATATTTTAATTACATAAAACAAAAAGAAGAAGAAGATTACGTCTATAACTTATAATAATAATGACATTATACTACAATAAATTTTATAATGAAATAATATAAGTATTATACGAGGAACAAGATTACGTAAAATTGTTATTTTTCCTATATCAATAAATAAATATATATAATGAAATCAAATTTATATTATTATAAACATGTGAGCGAGATAATATATTTAATTAGTTTACGGGCTAGCGCTACCAGAATAAGGTTTAATGTTCCGACAAAAAAAATGACGTTGATGAAAAGATGTAAAAAGATAAATGATCAAACTCTATTATTTTTTAGGCCTGAACGGACAAGTCCTATGGTCTACTCTTTTTAATATCTCCCGTGAATCGCACGAGCTACTTAACGGACAAGTTCTGTGGAAATAACTCATTAATACTTATGTCTTGTGCATCGCACGGGCTACGTGCTAGTATATATAATCAGTGGAATTTGGAAAAAAACCATGAAATTTTACTTGTCTTGACCAAAATGAGTTAGCGGGGGCGTTAAAAGGAAATTCACTACCAAGAATGACGAAACATTTTTGGTTAAAAAAAGGAATTATGAAATAATTTCAGCTGATTTTACTGTGTTAAGTGAGACATAAACGTCTCGTACTATATGTGCATGGTTTGAGGGGAATAGAAAAATTGATGGCTTATTTAATTACATTCAATCAGTTCTATTAAGATGTTTGGCAAAGACTATTTATAATCAGCTACTGATTGAACCATAATATGAGTTGTTGGGAAAATTATGAATTGCAATTTTTTCTAATCAGCTCTATTTACAAGTAAATATATAACTTTAATGCACATTTTTATTTATTTTTCTTACTTTTATATGTATAGTTTCTTGAAAATCTTTCTTTTCATTCTGTGATGTTGGTTTCGCTTTTCTTAAATTTTCTCCTAATTCATTGAGTATTAATTTTTGTTTTCTAATTATTTGGTATATTAATATATTTTTCAATCATGTGTATTTTTGTAATTTATTTTTGCTAAATTGCATCTCTTATCACGACCTCTACGACAGTTCTATATCAAAACTTTGTTTTCTTTGCAAAACGACTTATGACTTTTTTATGTTTTGTATAACGAATCACACGACACGTGAATAATAAAAATAAAAGTAAAAAATTGCACTTTCTCGTAAAAAATTGCACTTTCTCGTACCACTTTTTTTAAATTTGCAAATAAATCATGATTTTTTATGAAAAAATAATACATGATTCAATTTTCATTTTTCTATCTTGCAAAGTTATCAGAGAGAATCGGAAATACTTAATGTATTTAATAGTGAGCACTCGGATTCCATTCGCGTCGGTACATCGTCTAGACATTAAACTTTATTCTTGTTTGTATTGGGTGCTTGAGATGAACATCGTCACACAACATGAAAGAATTCTAAATTGTGTTGTCTAAGTCCCCCTAATCACTGGAGCGTCTAAAACGACTGCCTAGGCTGATTTTTATTATAGTACGTGTAAATCATATTTCTACATGTTGCTTGGTCAATGAAAGCATTCTGAGTGAAAGTGAGACGCTCTAATGAAATTTCAATTTATTAGTTTGAATTTCACAATGTACACAAAATTACATTATTCTAAAGTTATCCGTAATTACCATTCTCCCGGAAATTTTAATTTTTTCCCTTGAAGTTAACTGTATCTACCCCAAAAAATTTCAGTTCTTTTATTATTAATTTTTTTTTTCATTAAGCTAGCTGTTAACTCCATGATTTATCATATTCCCGGTAAAAGAGCAAATGTCATGACATATACGATTAATTCAATGTTGCCCCCAGAGGCATTGCAGTCAGTCCCTAAGGGCCGTTGATTTACACACACTCACACAGTTGTGTGTGAAACCAATAGTCCTTAGGGACTGACTGCACTACCCCGGGCAGCATAGAATTTTCCGACATATGCATAACCGATAGCATTAATTATGTACGTTTGTATTGTACCTTTAAGTTTCAGAGACAATAAATACTAGATAGAATTATAGATCTCGCTTTCAATTATGTCGAAATTGTGCTACAGTTGGAACAAAACTAATTAAATGTAGATAACAGCCATACAATTTGTAACTGCCGTATATAACAAACTGCTTCCTTAAAGTGTAGTTGTACTGTGATCGATGTAGGCGAATCTCGTATTACAAACAAGTGCATATATACAAGAAATTCTAAAATTATCCAAAACCTAATTTTATAGTTTAGCCTTCCTAATTACTTTGTCAATGATGATATTTAACTACGCGTTAACCATCTAAATTGGTCCCAAAAAATAAATAAAAGAAAATGGTTACGAGAAATAGACCTCTTATCTAATTTCTAGGTAATTTAAGAAACTTCTAATCATGTGCTATTTCGTACTAGTGTTTTATAAAAATGTTGCCTACTTGGTGGTTAATTAACTTTAGAAAAAGTACCCAATTCTCAAAGACTAAATCAAGAAACTAACCATAAAAAAGTATGTCGTGATTTATGACGCAATAAACGCGTCCTTGGAATAAGCCAGCTCAAACACTTTCTAGTTTAATTCTATAAACTACTTTATTTTTTCTTTTGGCAAATATGTAATGTAATATAGGGAAGACATTAATAATTGATAATTCTGTGGAGAAATTTTGCCATATTCCAGAATGTTCGCTAACTGATAGCAAGAAGTAGAGTTTGAGCATAATGCTCTTTGTAAAGTTTTCTTTGAACATGAATTATCAAATAAATATGCCATCTGCTCCAAACTAATAAGCATATTCTAGAATTTTGTATTTTCTCATTTATTTTCTCCGAACGGATTGAATTTGAGAAAAATCTTTCATAGAGTAATATCATTAATATGTTTTTGAAGGAGTAAGCACCGCAATAACCGTAGATTGTATGCTATATGCTTCCCACGTAAAGTCGTGTAGCCAAAGTCCAAAAGATACCTTTTGCGGTTTAAACGGTAAATATGAACTATTTCTCGGTTACGTTTTTTCAATCTGCGGCGGCTCGTTGGAAATCTATAATTTTCTTTAAAGTAACTAAACGAAAATTAAATAAAATAAAATTGAACCTTCGAAAATTGGGGTTTTATATTAGAGCCGATGGTGGTTAGATGTATAAAGATGAGATATGCCCGTCAGTCCATGGAATCTACCTACTCTACAACCCTATTGAGGTTTACAAAAACAAATATAATAAATTGTCGGTATTATGTAGCATTTATAGAATATTTACTCTAATTAAGAGTGAAATTTTACTCATTGATGATTGATATTCATAGGAGATAGACAAGTTCACCAGCACCTGACACTTACGTATGAGTAATTTTTAGAATTTTAGTTATCTGAAAATCCAAAATTTAATTCACACAAAATTTGAATTTTAAATTCTCAACGAAAATAAATATATACATATGATTAGAATTTAGCCGAGTACAGAATAAATTCCGATCTCGGATCGTGTTTCTCGAGGAAGATTGTTCGGACAATGATTGACTCACGTAAAAAAATATGCTAGACGCGCTCAATTAGGTAAAATTTTTGAATTAGATCGTGCGACTTTAAAATCGGATGGTGTTTTTCGTAGCAGCCCAAGGGGTTGGTTTACTTTTGAACATGTTTCGTTTGCTTTGCTCTTCTTTTTCAGGCACATTTGGCAAAAAGAAAGAATATCTTTTTGGCAACCCCCAGTTTAGCCTCCTTTCCAACAGAAGGGAAGTGAGGAGGAAAATAAAGGTCCTAATTAAACATTCTACTCGCATGATTGGTGATTGATTCAAATTAAAGGTCGCAACTTTAAACTAAAACATAAGCAAATTCTAAACTTTATAGCATGCAAATCCTCAAATTGCAAGAAAAAAGAAAATAGAGAGAAAAAGAACAAGGTACCCTAAGACCCGAGATGGAAAGAAGGCACTCATAGGTTCGCAAACATACAATCAAACAATCGCCACTCGCGAATCAACTAATCGAGCACTCAATCAATTATCACTCATGAAAGTTCTTATCTTTACCCTAGAAAAATCAAATAAGTAAAGACAATAAAAGCTTACGAGATCTTAGACCTTAAACTAAGTCTCCAATTGGACCTTAAACTAGGTCTCCATGTCTCTAGTGCATAATGTAACGTAAATAAATATGTGAACTAATATTGCATCAATAATATACATTAGATCTTTATTTAGTTATTTATTACTTTTTTATTATTAGGGACTTATTTTTCATATATTTTTGTTGGGATTGTAATATGTTATTTCGTTCTTTTTATGTTAAGACTTCATTATGTTATTTAAAAAAAACATTACGAGCTAATTTGTTTTACATTTTATTTTGTTCATGCAATGATATATTCAATAAATTAATTAAATATCTTACTAAACTTTAATTGCCCCAACACATTCATCACCACGTGCATCGCACGTATAATTTACTAGTAATACAAGTGCGCATCTTTTTTTTTCCTTTTATTTTTCTAGTAATACAAATATGCATCTTTGATTAAAAAAATATGACCATGTAATTATCAGGCAAGATAATACCAAATTTGTGTATATGAGCCGAAAATTAAATATGGCCATGTAATTATTAGGGAAGATAATACCGAATTTGTGTATATGAGTCGAGAAAAATTCATACAATACTATTAAGCTACCCACCTTAACTTAAAGGTGCATACCAATTACCCATCCACTGATCTCTTTAATACCAGAATTTGAACTCAAATCAAATTTTGAATTCTTTTAACACATTTTTTTTTTTTTAATGCAAACACGATCTGCACGGCTATCACCAAAAAGAAAACAGAAACATAAAAAAAGTGGACTAGTGTGTGTGTATAAATACAAATATACAACTCATATTCATATCCTGCGCATGATAAAATCAATCAAACAACCTGGTCAAACTTACCCCTATCACCCCTCAGGACCAAAATCAAAATGTCTATATATTATAAGCTTCATTTGTCCCTCAATCAAAAGACTTGGTAAGACAAATTAGCCAAACCAAACACTGACCATAAAAAAAGAATAATATATTGAAAAAAAAGTCCGAAAAACACACACAGAAAGAGAGAGAGAGAGTTAGTTACTGCTCCATCTTCTGTTCATTTCGTTTTTCCTGAATTCTTGCAGCTTTTATTATTAAGCTGCAATCGGGCAGTTCAGAATTTTGTCTCTTCCTATTTATTTACTTTATTTTATTACCATTTTTTCTTTAAGAATTAAGATTAAATACTGTAAACAGTAAATATACACACAAACAGTGTCTGCATTGGGCGGTCAAAATGCAGAACCCGGAAAGCAGTCAACAGCACCGCCCCAACAGCTCCGACTCCGACGCCCCTGCCCCCGGAGAGAAGCCGGCAGCGGCGGCGTCGAACAGCGACCCGCTTAGCAAGCGCCCGGCCCGGAAGAGCGCACGGTTCAGCGTCCCCGAGGCATCCTCTGCCAACCCCGGCGGATCTGGCTCCGGCGCCGGCGCCTCCGCCCCCGGCGGGGAGGACTACGTGGAGATTACCCTTGACGTGCGGGATGACTCGGTAGCAGTGCACAGCGTGAAAGCCGCGGGCGGCGGTGAGGTGGAGGATCCGGAGCTGGCTTTGCTGGCCAAGGGCCTCGAGAAGAGGACGTCCCTCGGCTCCATCCTCGTGCGAAACGCCTCGTCAAGGATCCGCCAGGTGTCGCAGGAGCTCAAGCGGCTGGCCTCCACCACGCGCCGACCCCACCCAGCGGGTGTATTTGACCGGAACAAGTCCGCGGCTGCCCACGCGCTCAAGGGACTCAAGTTCATCAGCAAGACTGACGGGGGAGCCGCCTGGGCTGGAGTGGAACAGAGGTTCGATGAACTTACGGCTAACTTGGACGGCTTGCTCCCACGCTCCCTTTTCGGGCAATGCATTGGTAGATTTGACGCCGATTTCATCTGTATTCCTTCAATTTTCTTTTTATTTTGCTTTTTCTTTTTTTTTAATTCTGAAATTGGGTTGGTGTTTAATTAATTTTCAGGTATGAATAAGGAGTCGAAGGAGTTTGCCGGCGAGCTTTTCGATGCCCTGGCTAGGCGGAGGAACATCGTCAGAGGTTCGATTACCAAAGCACAGCTCAAGGAGTTTTGGGATCAGGTTTCGGATCAGAGTTTTGATTCTCGCCTTCAAACTTTCTTCG